CAGGACAGTGCAATTGTATTTTCAGGCTCATTAAGCAATAGCACAAAAAGGGGGAGCTCTTACCCCCCATCTACTTTCTCGACCATGGTCTGTTCAGCGAGTGAAAAGGGGGTGAACAGAGGTGATAAAAGGTGGGATAAAGAAATGAGCGGGGCAGTTAATTATAGTTGTGAGACTCTATTAGGTTTACTGATGTTTACTACATGAGTGTGTTTGGGAGTTAAGTGTAGGAGGATGAGAAGAAGAAGGAGAGCGTGCACAGTTGCTGCTCTCAGTCTTCTGAGAACCAATCCGGCTGCTGGGTAGCAGCCCTATTCAGGACCGAGGCATGCTTATTTATTTGAAAGAGACCCCGCTTTTTAAACTTCCCACCCTCTCCTTTGTTCGACTTCTCATGGGGAGGACTTTGAAATTGTAATCTCAGGATATTCAAACACACATATTTGTTCTGACCTTTGGTGCCTGCAATAACATTATTACTATGAAACAAGCCTTGCCAGCTTGGATCTACAGTGCATGAAACCGCTTTTGACTGCAAAATCTTTGACTTACAATTAGATTCAAAGCAAGATTAGCTAGTAAAGAGACGGACATTTTAAATTAAATAATGAATGGGGGCATTTTTAAATCAGCTACATTTACATGAATTTCACATCAATTATGGGGGATGGTTCATTTGCTTGTAAAACATACACTGACAGGAGAAAAAAAATCTAAAGATTCTCACCTGGAAGCAATTGTCAAAAAGAAAATGTGACTATGATTTAGCTTTGTGAGAAAAAAAATTGTCATCCTTTTTGATATAAATTGTTTTGAACACTTACTGTTTTATTGCTGTGATTATGATTATTTTCCAGTTCAACGAAATGTTATACATACAAATTGTTCCTAATTTACTATAATTGGACCATATGAGTACTGTAAATGTACCTGCATTCAGCCATAAGGATTGAATAATCCTCTCAGTTACACTTTGTGGAAATAATCTGAAAGGAATTATTAATATTTTATCTTGCCCCGCTTAAATATCAGCCGAAACTTTTTTATTATGTAAAACAGAAAATATGATATCGACCAAATTGCTGTAATTTATACAATAGTTACTGGTTTTGGCCTCTCTGGGATTTGAAGCCAGCAGTAAAAGAGAAAATTGATGCTGCTGCCTTAGTTTTTTTCTTCTTCTTCTTCAGATATACTGCATCGCAGCTTTGGCTGCTAAGAGCATATGAGATTGTGGTGACATTCTTCGGTTTGTGAATGAGACCGCAGAGTAGCCACACAAAGTTCCTCGTCCCCAGTGCTCAACCTAACTCGCCCACTTGCATTGTCTCTAGACTTTCCTCAAGAATGTGGATTTCTATGGCCGATGGAAAGCCAGACGAAATTGCCAATTGCATTGTCACCTCTTGAGGTTTTTCTCCTTAACAATCTCTATTGGCAAGAGAGCTCAGGAGGAACCCTCTCAAAGAACACAACTGTTTTTGAAGACGCTCAAACGAGTGGTGAGCAGTGCTAGAGATGTTGCTTAAAAATCTAGCCTGTATCAGCTCATGAGCAAGCATTAATTTAAAAGCTGAGTTCAAAATGTAAAATCCCATACCCACTGATGTATGAAATAAACCCTGCTGTTATTTGGTTTGAGTCAAAAAGAGCAGCTATAACACCGCAGGGCACTCCGTCCCCTGATTGTTTTTTTACAGTCCAAAAAAGAAGCCATGATGGAGGCAATTTGCTTCCTTTCCTTTAGCACGGCAAGAATATTTCTCTCATTACCCGACATTCAAACACAGGGCACTCTGATGCCACAAGAGGAAGTGGCTTTGGCAGAAAATGTCAAACTAGCGTTTAAGTGCAGGATTGAAGCCAGTCTGATGTGGACTGGATCAACTTGTTAAGTCAAATTAAAGGTCAAAGATATTTTCCGCAGCACGGAGCAACACAAATAACTGCTTTTTAAACTGCTGTTAAACAAAGAGCGCTGTGCTGGTTGCCGTATGTGAGGAAGCTGAACGGATTAAAGTGTTTGCAGAGGTAGAAATTTTTAAATAATAAATAGTTACCTCTTGGTTTCATGGAGAGATGATGACTACATCATTACGAAGAATGTTCCATTTGATTACATGAAGAGGGTAGCTTTGTTAAACTTCGGCTCAGTATTCCGGTTTTCTTCAGCTAATTTCAGACAAGAAAAGCCAGAGAAAGCAAGATTGGCGTGTTGGGATGTTGCTGAGAGTAACATGCTCCCATGTCTCCATCTGCTCCACACGCTGTCATGTCAGCAAAGTGTCCATCTCGCTGAGGCCTGTAGCTACAGGTCTTTGTGCCACTGTTGACACATCTCACAAGGATTGGGTTCCACGGCTCACTCACTCCTCATAAATGATCTGTTTGTTAGAAGGCCTCGCTACAGTGGGGAATAGACAAATTATTGATGGAAGACAGATATCAACTCAACAGGAATAACACAGAATCTGCATCCATAGGTTTTTGCACACTTCAATAAGTCTGTATATGTAAAAAAAAAATGTTAAAAGAAAGGAAAAAGAAAACTGGTTTATTTGGCTCTATGATTAAAAAAAAGAAAGTTTGACATGAGAGTGACCTTAAAGGTCTACAGCCCTAAACTGTTTTCTCACATAGTTCATTGTGCCACCACCACTTTATGAACTGGATAAATGGTTTCACCTATGAGATTGTTGGAAACGGCCCCCCTGCACATATATGTGAAAAAGTATTCATTTCTGGTGCCAGTTGAGGGGAAAGTGCTTCCCATTGCGCTTGCATCGACCTTGAAGAACAGATCTGCTTTCAAACTCACTAACACCTTCTGACACTGTTCACTCGCCTGCATGCTGTTACAGAAATGTCTTTTGAGGTAGGGGAGAGGGGGCCCAAAGCTAAATACACTGCACCAAACACCAGGGGAGGAGAGGTAAGTGTACTTCTCATGTAGATTTATCTTTGGATGTACCTGTATCAGATGAATCAGCCTGTGCACTCCACGGCCCAACTCTCATCCCCTTCTTGCACGACAGTATGGCGATGAGCAAGAGGGAAGGGGTACACATTTAAACACAAACCAGCTGGGTGACAAGGGGCCAGGGTGTGTGAGGAGACAGAGGACTAGTTTTGTCAGATAGGAAATGAAGGAGCAGACTCAACATCAGGATTTACTCAAGTTGAATGATTAAGCAGGAGTTGTGCCTCTTACCTGATGAGAGGTAAATTCTTACACCTGAGGGCGTTCAGGGGGTCAGCCATCACTGATCTCAATCAAGATTTTTGTCAGTCAAATAATGGTTCTCTGTTAAATTTTTAAAGAAATGTCTGCCAATCATGTGAATTGTATTTAAAGTCAGATGCTGAATCCTATGTGAGGTTCAGCTGTGATACATGGTTATGCACAGGGCAGGTCAAGTCAGTTTACATACCACTGTTATCCAGTTAAGCAACTAGCCTTGGAGGGGGGCTATTAAAGTAATTTGGGGGAGTAAAAGAGGATGGGGAAGTGGAGGGCTTAAGTTCTTGGACTGACCACTAGCTCAGTCCATCTTCACACTAATCCTCCTCTTGTGTATTTGATAGCATTGCTGACTGTGTGAGTTCTCAGTGGGGTCTTGTGTTGGCTTGGAGGCTGCAGTGTGCTGCTGACATGTTTAATGTGATATCAGCTTGGACATGTCAGCGGAGAAGAATTTAGATGTTAATCTTTGTTAAATTTAAAGGGATTTATACTGTAGTTATTGTTGTGAGCGACAAATCAAACCATGAGGTGTCGCGCCATAGGTATTTCCATATTTATTCAGCTTCTACCTCACTACACATTTACTGTGCTTTTTTATTCTATTTATTTATTCTATTTTATCCTATTTAAAGCACCCCACTCAAAAAAGGATTTATGACAAAACAGTTATAAACTCAGTGATGAACAGAAATGAACTTTATCAACTACAATGGTAAAAACTTCCAAGCTAAGAATACTCATTCAGTATCATGGGTATGTTTCTCATTTTATGAACATTTTCACATTATAATAGTTTCAAAAGGTTTCTTTCTTTTTTAATTTATTTTTTGCTGTAGATTTTTTTTCGCATAACAAAATATGTCCAGATGACTGGAAAAATGAACCCAGACGTGAAACAGTTAACTGTCAGCGCCTGTTTCCACCCAGCTCCATGCACTGGACTATGAAATATTCGGAGGACAATTGGTTAAGTGGAGTTAACCGTTGCCTTTTCTCCCCGAGGTATCTTCCTTTTTGATCCTGCCGAGTCTGGCGCCTTGCAAAACACAACTTGTCTGGCTTATTAAATAGTATGACCTGGAGAAAGAAAACGCCTGTTGCTTCTCAACCGAGGCTATTGTTAAGGAGAAGAGCTCCTGACAGGCCTTAAATTGCTGCAATGCTGTGTGACCAACACTCATACCTAATCAATTTCTATCCTGGCTTCGCACTCTTTCTGATTGGAATTTCTGTTAAGCTGTTTCACTTACTTTTATTTCTATAATATACACTTACGGGCAGGTTATTCATTGACAAATGGATTTGCTTTTATTATATTTAATTTGGGGCACAAAATATATTTTAATCTCTTTGATAAAAGTACGACTTTGATATCGACACGTAACTCATTAGCCCTTGCTCAGCTTTACAGTAAGAGAGTAATTAAACTAATACTACCGATGGAAGTGCTCTGCTAAAGGATGTAAATGGTCAAGAGAGTCCTCCCCACTGGTTAATTGCACTAAAATTGGTCTAAGCTACTTTGTGAGAGCCATCAATAGTCCCGCACCGCATGGGGTCTGTATGATTAACGTCTCCTTCCTTTCAAAGCCTTCTTGATGTTCTCTTGGAAGGCTACAGGCCAATCAAAACCACACTCTGAGACGTCACGAGGCCAACTTGACGAGATGATTGGTCGAAGCAGGGAGGGGGACAGCCCCTGTCCTTTTATAGACGATCCCGTCCAGCGCGTAAAAAGCTACTGGGCACCGCTGACAGCGCAAAGACGCACATTGGACACCGTACCCCTCAGCCACGTAATTCCTCTAAACGGGCCGCACGGAGGTGCATGGCCCCATCCCCTTGTATCATGATGAATCCTGTGCAGGGGTCGCCGTCCCAAGACGCCAAACAGCTTCATCAAAAAGAGGAGACGGATACGGAGAGCGAGGAACTGCAACCCAAAGACATGACAACCGAGAAAGGATACAAACTCCAGCGGAGCAGCCTCCCGTTTAGCGTCGAGTCATTGATTTCCAAGAAGACCACCTGTCGGACTTCTTACTCGTCCTCAGATTTAGCTCTGGTCCTTCCGAAGCCCGTGGCTGGGCAAGGCGAACATCTCTCTCCAAGGACTTTTTACGCGGAGAGGAAGATATCGGCTGAGAGCTCGCAGGGTGTTTCCAGTAGCTCCAGCGAAGACAGTCCACAGTTTTGTGAGAAAGATCAGAGCACTTGGTTCCAGACGTCCTCCTTTTCTACACCTCCCCGTAAGTCCGTCCCTCCGCAGTTATCAGAAACAAAAATAAACTGCATTTATCCACCTCTCTATAGGAGCTGCATAACAAGTTTAACTGTGAGACGCCTTTTTGTTTCCTACACACGTATGATGCGTAAATACTATTTTTATTTGGTCATTTATTAGGTAAATAAATGCATAACAATGGAAATATGTTTTGCATCTGAGCTCAAGAAACACTCGCTTCTCTGCTGCACCGACCCTTTACCATTTGATGCCATATATGTCTTGTTATCTATAAAATAAATAAATAAATAAATAAATAAAACAACTTTTAAACATTTAAAAAGTCATAAATGAAAGCAGAAAATCTGACTATGTGCTCAAGCCTTTGATTCCACAAAGATGTGACAGTGTGTGATGCAGGTTATTTTGTCAACATCAATATACTGCAGTGTATTTATCAGTGTGTGTAAGCTGCGTTATGCTGGTGTTTGTATCCAGTGGCGAGGGCTCTTATGTTCACCTGCTGTGACAATCCCGCTTCAGTTAAACTCCGATTTAATCTAACCTCAGCTTTTTCTCTTTGCAATTTCTTTGTGACAGGAAGCTCAAGTCCAACTCAGTGTACTTTAAGGAAGCATAAAAACAACAGGAAACCTCGCACGCCCTTTACTACCTCCCAGCTCCTGGCGCTGGAGCGCAAGTTTCGCCAGAAGCAGTACCTCTCCATCGCAGAGCGAGCCGAGTTCTCCAACTCTCTCAACCTGACGGAGACTCAGGTCAAAATCTGGTTTCAGAACAGGAGGGCCAAAGCCAAGAGACTTCAGGAGGCCGAGCTGGAAAAGTTTAAGTTAGCCTCCAAGCCCGTCCTGCCTGCATTCGCGCTGCCTTTCCCCCTCGGAGCGCACATGAGCTCTCCATCCTGGGGCCCTTCAAACGCCTTCCCGAGACCCAGTCTGCCTGTGCCAGGACTGTTCAGTGGACCCGTCACTTATGGGATGTACTATTTGTCTTAATAATGTTCCTGTGTGTGTGCGTGTGTGCTCTTGGCCACAGCACAATTAAAAAGTTTTGGAGTTTAGACTATTTTCCCCCCAAACTCCAAAACCGAAGACAAATACGACAAGTGGCGAATACCGGTGTATAAACGTGTGCGTAATCGTTCCGAGTGCGGTCACTTGCTCTCATTTTGTGTCCACTTCTGAGAATCGTGGATTCTTGGCCTTAATTTTCTTAAGCAAAACTCCATAAGCAGATGTCATCTACTCACACAGTAGATGACATGCCTTAAATATTTCATCCCAGCCTGTCCTCCGTGCTCTCCAGTAGCAACTGGGCAATTAAATGTGTCCGGATCTAAAGGCAATAATCCTCTAAAGCTGGGGGACATTAATAAAAGCAACAGAAAAGTACTTAATTGGTGTCAGTGCCTTAGGACCCCGAAGTGTACTCTCTTTATCATCACTTGAATTCCTCATTCAAGATATGAATATTTTTTCTGTTATCGGGTAGCGTTGTCCATTTTTGCTGTGTTAATATCTGTATTATTGTCACGATTTCTATCATTCTTTTTAAAGAACGGAGACAGAATTATATTTTAGGAAAAAAATACATGTATTAGTTTTTTTAACCTTCACAACGTGGCCTTTATGGGAGTGATATTAGATTTACTTTGATGAATTTTGCTGTAAATGTAAATAAAATTTGTAGTGTTCTTAAACGTCCTGCAGTCTCGCTTAAAGGGCAGGAGAAGTGGTATTTATTGAATATCTTTGTATCTGTACTGTGTACATACATGAGTCTATCAAAATGTGCAGTAACTTGTAAAAACTGATTTTAGTAAATAAACATTATCCAAGAATTGATAAGTGCTTGACTCACTTTTTTTTTCTGTTAATATCGCCATTGACCTCTGGAGCCTCCGTGTGTTCTGCGGGTTTTTACTGTGCAGTGCAGCGGAAAAGCTTTGTTAGTTAAATGTTTTTCAAATTTTATTTAGATATTTTATTATGTGATTTATAAGTGTGCAAAACGTTTACCTGACAACCTCATCGCATTCACACGCATTTAATTATCTGATTTGGGAATGACCACATAGCTGTTTGATTTTCAGTGCAGATCCGCTTACTTTTACCACATTGTGCACCTTTCGTAATTTATAAATAAAGAGCATAGCGTATTGTTTTGTTTTCCTTATTTACATTTTAAAGCGAAAACAGTTTGGTCTGTAAATCCTAAAAAGATTACTTGAATCTCAGTTTGTCGCGATGATACAGTTTATTGGAGATAGTACACTTTTATTTTACTTTTAAATATAAAAAACACATTTTTCCCACGACCGACTCAAAGGATGTGGATTTTTAAGGATAAAGGAAACCTTTTATCTTTGCTGCGCACATCAAGTAACCAAGTGACATTCATCTGTCTAACCTACAGGTTGCACCAATTGCGCCACGTTTCTGGGAAAATCTCACATTTTTAATGATGGCTTTGGTTTTGGAATTGATGCATTTTATTGTTTCCATTTATTGCCTGGTTACACTTGTGGGACACTGGTAAACTCTTAAGGCCAATATAATTACCTGGAATATAGAGTTAATAGACACATTTCCCCCATAACTGAACCAAACCCTCAAAAGTTCCCGCTTTTCTTCAATTTTTAATTTGTTCTTGTTAATCTGCCTTCAATTAAATTAGTTAGACCCCCCTTCTTTCTTTCTTTTCTTTTCTTTTTTACAATAAAGAAACAGAAACCAAAGGCTTAGAGTTAGTGAGATTTAGGGTTTATTTATTTAATAATTACTCACTGTTTAAGCCCACAGTTCTAGAAATTGGCTTCTAGAAGCTGGATCGCATAATTGCGAAAGTTTGCAAATGAAAAAAAGGAAAGAAAAGGAAACGCATGAAGACAGGCTGTGATTACTCAGCCTGTCCAGCAGAGGGCGGTGGCGCCGATTTGCGGCTCAAGGCGCTGATGAAGAAGGCTCTTCCGTTGGTCCGTCCTGTCACAGACAACACTGCAGCGAGGTGAGTACAGAGAAGGGGTGACTGATTGAAAGAATATCTGATAATAATTTCTTAAATAATGGTTAGTTGGGGTCATGCATGTGTCGGTGGATGGAAGATGGAAAAGTAGCCTGACCGGCCACATTCGTGTTTTGTCAAAGTCCCGGTGTCATAGACGGAGTCCTCTGACCTTGGCTAGCAAGCTAACAGAGTTAGCTACCTTTGGCCGGTTTTGAGTGTTTAAATTGAGCAAAACGTCACGGACGGTGCCACTGCAACTATCTTTAAAAAATATAAAACGCGCTACGAATAACTTGGGTGTATTTCATCAAGACACAACAATTATTTAGCTTCAACAGGCTTCATATTGTCTGACCGTGACCCAGAGGACCAGGAGAAACTCTGGACCTCTGGGTCCAGCGAAATGAGGACATTGAGTTGAAGTATTTTATTCATATCTCGGCGTACAGCAAAATATCTCTCCACTCTCAATAACTTGAAAGTGAACATGTAATATATATTTACTGTCTGAAAGTTATTTCATTTAACAATTTAAGGTACTCCTCATCTGTCAGTTTTATGTAAACGCAAATGTCTTTCCAAATGCTGCAATCACTAGACACTCAATTTTATATTTTATATATTCAATTCAATCGGGTTTTATACACTGAATGCCACGCACAGTATGCAAGCATAAATTAAGGAAACATGAAAATAACTGTATACCCGTTCGTTCCTTAATGATATACATTCATTCTTTATTTATTGAGTGAGGAATATGCCTTTCATTTGTCCTTATGTTTAACCTACGTTATGCAAATGCATTTGAAATGTATATTGAAATTTTAGGCTTACATATTTAAGTTTATTCTGATTTTAGTCTAAGGAATTGGTGAATCTTAAATACCTGGGGTCAACCAACCAAAGCAACAGACAGTGTACAAGAGAGGCGAAGAAGTGTGCAGGGTTGGTGGTAATGTTTGACAGAAGGATGGCAGCAGGAGTGAAAGGCAAGGTTCTCAGATGATTTTTCTGTATGATGCTTGTGTAAGTTTTGAAATCCAGTTGTAAAATAAAAGTAGTCTTCTCATTGTGGTGCCTCAAACCAGGTATCCTCCTCATCAACAGACGATTTTCCTGTTTTCTGTTTGTTTCTCAACAAACAAACTAATTATTGACCAAAACACATGTTGACAAGATTTGTCTAGATGATTGTTGACATTTTAATTCAATACTTAAAATAAATAAAAACATGTGTCCTTTCTGTTTTCAGACAGTCGAGATGGCAGGCCGTCGTGTAGCCCTGAAGGCCATTGACTGGGTGGCATTTGCCGAGCGAGTTCCACCCAACCAGCGTGGCATGTTCAATGCACTGAAGACTCGCAGTGATGGCATCTCTGCCAAGTATGATATACACCTCTCACTATGTTATACATCATCATCTCCAATGTGTGGAAATTAGGCTCCAGCTATCAATCGACTAATCTGTCGATTACCCAATCAAGTAAACTCTCAATAATCAGATTAAGTTAACAGGTCATCTGTTTGTTTTAATTCAACTTCTGGAGGATTACTGCAGATTTCTCCCAGTGTAAAACAAACGTCTGTGGATTGAGCAGCCGCAAACTTGGCTTTTCTTAACATCAGAGTTTGTTGATCACATGCTTTGATGAAGTACTCCTGCTAGGTTTTCCCAGTAAAAGATTTAAGGGTGAACACAGGAACTGTGCAGATCTTTTGGATGTTAGAAAACATGTTTTCTTTCACTAAACCTGAGCTCACCATAATGGTAACGGCTCCGCCTCTTAGCTGTGCGTAAACACTCTGGCTCCACCTTAAGCTGGGCCAGCATCATCATCACTGCTGCCATTGTGTTATCAGTGTTTTTGTTTAAAACTGGAGGCTACCTGGGCTTAATGTTGACAAACCTTTTATTCACATGCAGCTTCTGAATATGTTTTTAGTGGCAAATATGCATCACTTTTTCATGGCGACGGTAGCACGCTACAGAGTGTTAAACGAAGCATCGAATGTTTGTCGAGAATTTTTTATAATCGAATCAATCAATCGCTGCAGCTTTAGTAGAAAGAAGATGTTTTCTGCTTTCAAGAGAACACAGCAAATAGTGCAAATGGTAGATATTTATCTTAATTATTGCTGCTTGAACGGCTCATCTTGTACACATTGTACGCTACTGATGCTGGAAGTATCAGTAGTACAAAACAACTGACTGTAGTACACTGGGATGTGTTATTTAAACTGCAATGTTTCCTGCATAATTCCATTCTATTTGTGGTTGTAGAGAGAGCCGTGTTTGTGGGAGACTTAAGGAGTTGGAATGTGTTGGAACAAGAAACTCTTTTTAAGACATGGCTTAATGACATGGAGAGCAGCGATAACAGTGACTGGGTCACCCAGCCAGTAGAAAACAGATTGATCAAGTTGACATGTCATCTTGTATAACCTGCAGACTAAGGCCTGGGTGAATAATTTCATTTTAATCTCAGTTATTATTTTGGTTTCCAGTGATTATAAAAAACATCAGATAAAAAAAAGCATCACCTTAGTAACTGCATGACATCAATTTAATGAATAAATTTATGTTAGAGATTTAATAGAAAATTAAGCGGCTGTCTCATTATTCTTTGCAGACTTTAATTTATACCATCATTATAATAATTAAAGTGGGCGGTTGCATTAATTTGTCTCCTAGAAGCATCATCACTGAATTTTGCATTTGTATCAACTTGTGAACAGTTCTGTTGTCCATTTTATTTGCTCTTTGCACCTTAAATATCATCTACTTGGGTTTCTCTTTTGCTCTTCTCCTCCCTACCAGGCTAGCCTCCTTGCCAGAAAAGCCTGTGGCTATTGACTGGAGCTTCTACAGGAGTGCAGTGGCCAAAGCCGGGATGGTTGATGAGTTTGAGAAAAAGGTGAGCTTTTCTCAGCAGGTTATTAGTCAATATTAAAGCACCAAATAGAGCGTGTGTAGAATGCCATTTTTAAAAAGTTGTTTGTGGCATTTTTAATGTTGTGTCTAGCTGCTCTGAAAATTTTTCACATAATTAAAATTGTGTTTTCATTTTATGAAAGATTGTCCTGTAATGCCCCATTGTAGTGGCTGTAAAATCAAATCAGTTTTCACATAACTACATGAATCCCTGTGAAAAATTAAGTACACCCTTACATCTTCCATTGAAAATAAGAGGGTAAGTGGCAGTCAGGTGCTGCTAATTCAAGATTTGCTTTCACTTAGCAGTACCTCAAAGACGCAATGCAGAACAAAATTACGTTGCACAAGATCACATAAAGACATAAAAAACATCAGTACAAAGATTAAAAAGAGTCAAGTATAATAAATAAATGAATATAAAGCCAGTGGTACATATTTAAAAACAATAATAAAATAAATATTCAATTATTGCACAGGAGAAATTTTGATTGCACTGAAAATATTTTGTTGACAGATTTATAGAGTATAATCAAATGCACTTGATTAACCAATCAAATAACAAGTGTGACCACCTCGATTGAGATTTCTCATACATCATGCACAGTCATTTTCCCGGTGACAGCCATCAACTTCCAGCAACCACTTATTCCTGGTAGGGCACTGGTGCTTGCCAAATGGTTAGCAGACCAGTCTTTAGATCTGTGTGATTGGAGCCTTATTTACTTGACTCTGCATTGTCACAAGTTAAGTCACATGGTTGGTGGCCACATATCTTCAAAACCCCAATTAAAGCAGAAGTTTTAACAGTTTTAAAACTTCAGTGTCATATTAACACAATCCTACTATCTTCACAGGAGTGGACCAGCAAATTCACTCTATGTTCAGAGCGTG